GGATATAGCTCGCTAGCAGCCTCGCACCGAGGACCTATCCATGTCATCATTTACCCAGAATGCTTTGTGTGTAAATAAAATGGCTCCGTTCGTGTTAAAATATATTTTTAAAAATTTACAAAACTAAACATCCTACAGTATTTTTAGAGTCTTTATTTTACAGTTAAAGTAAATGTTTATCAAATAAAGTCTAATGTTACAACCAATCATGGATCCCTTTAAACAAACCAGGGTTCAGTTTGGTTAAGGTTAAAGTTTATCTCAGTTCATCATCACTTCCTGGTTTGACTCGTTTTAGTTTGTAATATCTGTGTTGTTGTGTGATGCCATGCTCCTGCTCCACAGTTTGTCAGCCTGCAGATGGTGGGATGGATGAAAAATCTTCTCCAACATGTTTTTGTTTCTGTTGAAGCCAAAAAGAGAAATCTTTTGACTGAGGAGTTAAAGAGACTTTGTGACAGATGGATGAATGAGAGGAACGGTTCTATAAAGCTGAACCACAGAGATGATCAGTGATTTAGTCTGCATTTTCATTAACTGAACACTACTTATATTTAGAATGATGATGTCATCACCCACAGCTGATTGTAACTCAGACAGTGAAGTAGAACCTGGTGTGCTAGTAGCTGAGAGTTATCTCAACACATTCAGTCTTTCTTGTTCCTGCAGCTGTTTTCTGTTTGTTTGACAATCTGTGGGTGAAGAGAGCTGCATCACCTCCACTCTGACTTACATGAGGAGGAGGTGCAGACGGTTTATGGGGGTGGGGGACAGATTCTGTCTGAATTTTAATCACATTGGGTTTTTTTTTTTTACTCTCTTTTCGTTCTCTGCTCTGAAACTAAAATATGTGACGACTAAAGGTTTCTAAAGCAGAGCAGAATCTGAATGAATCTCCTGTCAGGTGAGAAATGAGCTTCAACCAATCAGACGCCTGAACCTGTGCTCCACATTAAAGATTACAGACTGATACTGATACAAACTGGTGCTGCCTCAGAACACTTATTTGACTCATTAATTAACTTAAGATGGTTTAACTCATTACCCATTAACTCATTAATTAACTCCTTATGGTGGTTTAACTCATTGTTTATGAACTTATTAATTAACTTGTAAATTAACTTGTTAAGGCTTTTTAACTCGGTGTTTATTAACTTGTTAAATATCTTGTTAAGATGTTTTAATTCATGGTTAATTAACAGAATTTTTCATTAAGACATTTTAACTAACATTTAATAATTTGTAAATAAACTCGTTAAGACATTCATTAATGTTTAATAACTGGTTAATTATCTCAGTAAGACAGTTTAACTCGTTAACATTTTTAACCTGTTAAATATCTCGTTAAGACATTTAAATTCATTAGCGTTCATTATCTTGTTAAATATCATAAGACGTTTTAATTCCTTGTTAATTAACAGATTAATTGTCTCGTTAAGCCTGTGTATCCACAGTGAACAGCTGAGCAGGTGCTGTTGGTGTGTGGAGGGGAACCTGAAGTCTGATTCAACATTTTGTCATTTATCTGCCCACGGATCAATATTTCTACTTTAATTTCCCATGATGCATTGCAGCAGGTTCTGATGACAGGAAGCTGGACTCTGAGGACTCTTTAGATTTATAGAACTCACTCACTTCCTTTCAGTTAAGAGTTTTTAACTCCCATCTCCTCCATAAAGCCCTGTAGAACCATCAAACAGGACCTATGCTACCATCAGAACCTTCTGCTGCTCACGGGTCAAGAAGTTCTTTGATCTGAATCATAGTTTTGACGCTGACTGGATGAGGCTCGTTTTAAAGAGCAAACAGGAAGTGGAATTATTCTGAAGGATTCTTCTTTCCTTGGCGACATCAGTGATATTAAATAGCGGCTCAGGCCTCACATCCTGTTTGTGAATGTTCTTGGTGTTGGTGCTTCTCGATGCTCTCACTTCTGTTTGATCCTCTGCTCCTTTCTGAATGGGATCTAAAACTGTCCTGTCAGAACCTCACAGGGTTAAAAGAATAAATGTTGATTCTTGTCTGGTTTTACAGACTGCTAACAGAAAGGTTTGANATTTAAACCTGAGTTGTTGTTTTTTTAAATGAGACGACCCCGGCGCCGCAGTAAGACCTGTGTCTGCGGCGCTTCGGCTTGGAGCAGCTGGCGTCTTGAATTAAACATGGCAGGTAGCTCAGAGAGGGCAGAGGGCAGCCGACAGGAGAGGAGCTGGATTTTAATGTGGTCAAAGTCAGATTATCTGCTGAAAGGCCTCAGAGGGTTCTCCTCCAACTCTGCTCAGCTTCTGGAGCTGAACCCACAACTCGAATAACTTGAAAACCTCTTAAAAGTGTTTAAAACCTCCAAACGATTTTAAAAGCCTCACCAGCCTGGAGCATGTTGTGATTAGGGCTGTGTATTGGCAAGAATTTGGCGATACGATACATATCATGACAGAGGGGTCACGATACGATATATCC